ACTCTATGAGAGGCTGTGCGTAATGGCCAAGGAATGACACCATGCACATCCCATGCAGGTAGGAAGGTTTATAATGCCTTGAAGGGTGCAACGTCATAAGAAGACTTTCCATCGAGAAAGAATAACTACTTCATAGATCCTAAAAGAGCGGATATCTACTTGTCTAATGTCCCATAAGAGGCATGGAGGAGATCAGCTATGAAGAAAGATTAGAGGAACTAAATGTATTCTCTACTGAGAAGAGGAGATTAAGGGGGGATATGATCACCATGTATAATACATAAGGGGGGGGGGGGGATATGATCTCCATGTATAATACATAAGGGGGGATGTGATCTCCATGTATAATACATAAGGGGGGATATGATCTCCATGTATAATATATAAGGGGGGATATGATCTCCATGTATAATACATAAGGGGGGATATGATCACCATGTATAATACATAAGGGGGGATATGATCTCCATGTATAATACATAAGGGGGGATGTGATCTTCATGTATAATACATAAGGGGGGGATATGATCTCCATGTATAATACATAAGGGGGGATGTGATCTCCATGTATAATACATAAGGGGGGATGTGATCTCCATGTATAATACATAAGGGGGGATATGATCTCCATTTATAATACGTAAGGGGGGGATATGATCTCCATGTATAATACATAAGAGGGGGTATGATCTCCATGTATAATACATAAGGGGGGGGTGTGATCTCCATGTATAATACATAAGGGGGGATATGATCTCCATGTATAATACATAAGGGGGGGAATGTGATCTCCATGTATAATACATAAGGGAGGGGGGGATATGGTCTCCATGTATAATACATAAGGGGGGATATGATCTCCATGTATAATACATAAGGGGGGGATATGATCTCCATGTATAATACATAAAGGGGGGGAATATGATCTCCATGTATAATACATAAGGGGGGGGGATATGATCTCCATGTAAAATACATAAGGGGGGATGTGATCTCCATGTATAATACATAAGGGGGGGATATGATCTCCATGTATAATATATAAGGGGGGATATGATCTCCATGTATAATACATAAGGGGGGGGATATGATCACCATGTATAATACATAAGGGGGGGATATGATCTCCATGTATAATACATAAGGGGGATGTGATCTCCATGTATAATACATAAGGGGGGGATATGATCTCCATGTATAATACATAAGGGGGGATGTGATCTCCATGTATAATACATAAGGGGGATGTGATCTCCATGTATAATACATAAGGGGGGATATGATCTCCATGTATAATACATAAGGGGGGGATATGATCTCCATGTATAATACATAAGAGGGGGGTATGATCTCCATGTATAATACATAAGGGGGGATATGATCTCCATGTATAATACATAAGGGGGGATATGATCTCCATGTATAATACATAAGGGGGGGAATGTGATCTCCATGTATAATACAAAAGGGAGGGAGGGATATGGTCTCCATGTATAATACATAAGGGGGGATATGATCTCCATGTATAATACATAAGGGGGGGGGGGGGGATATGATCTCCATGTATAATACATAAAGGGGGGGAATATGATCTCCATGTATAATACATAAGGGGGGATATGATCTCCATGTATAATACATAAGGGGGATATGATCTCCATGTATAATACATAAAGGGGATATGATCTCCATGTATAATACATAAGAGGGGGTATGATCTCCATGTATAATACATAAGGGGGGATATGATCTCCATGTATAATACATAAGGGGGGATATGATCTCCATGTATAATACATAAGGGGGGAATGTGATCTCCATGTATAATACAAAAGGGAGGGAGGGATATGGTCTCCATGTATAATACATAAGGGGGGATATGATCTCCATGTATAATACATAAGGGGGGGGGGATATGATCTCCATGTATAATACATAAAGGGGGGGAATATGATCTCCATGTATAATACATAAGGGGGGATATGATCTCCATGTATAATACATAAGGGGGATATGATCTCCATGTATAATACATAAAGGGGATGTGATCTCCATGTATAATACATAAGGGGGGATGTGATCTCCATGTATAATACATAAGGGGGGATGTGATCTCCGTGTATAATACATAAGGGGGGATGTGATCTCCATGTATAATACATAAGGGGGGATGTTAAATATCGTGACACTTATATTATTTAAGTGTCTGTCTTTAGGCGTTTGAGGCAAATTGTTCTAGTGCCAGGCTGACTTAAAACAGTGTGACTTTTATTTAATGCACACTTGGCATCAAAAATGAATACAAAAGATAAAATAAAATACAGAGTAAAATATAACAAAAGTTGTAGATTATGGAAAAAGAAATAAGCTTTGGAGAAATGTCTAATCTCTTGCCTGTTCTATGACAAGTGTTTCAGTCTTGGCAAGGAAGACAACAGGTGTATCAAGGCTTTGCAGGCCTTACCAGGAGACAAATATGTCAGTGCGTGTCAGCTGTATAATGTCTTGATGTATGAGTGTGAGTGAGTGTATGTGTCTCTCTATCTCTAAGGCACATCTTATATATATTTTACCAGACCAACCCACTAAACAGTTATTTCCTAATTCAGTGTTGGCTAAATAAGTAAAACCCTTATTTGTGCTTCTTCTAAACATATACTCTTAGTGTCCATATATGTAAGCCTTCTAAACTATACTTAGTATGACGTTATTTGCAAACCTCTTAGACGACAGAAATATATGATACTGTAATATAATATACACAATGGCTTCACATATCTTTAGAAAGGGACAATGATCACATAAATGCATATAACCAACTATAATTGATACTAAACTTATCACACACTATTCCTAACTAATAAATTGATTATAAATAATTATCCAACTAACTATATTATGGATTAGACATGATTTTCTTTATAAAAGACATATCCTTTCTTTGTTCTACTACATATCAATATCTTTTTACATTCCAGTTTCTATTCTTAAGAGAAGCTTATGACCTGCTGACCTTAGACATGAATATACCATGGTTCATCTTTAACACCTGCTTTCCAAAGCTTCATACACACGCTAAGTTAAAATTACTTCTCAATGATTTTGCTGTCATTTTGAAAGATATGAGACGTCTGTTTTAAGCTACATAATTTCTACAAGGGATGTGATCTCCATGTATAATACATAAGGGGGGATATGATCTCCATGTATAATACGTAAGGGGGGGATATGATCTCCATGTATAATACATAAGAGGGGGTATGATCTCCATGTATAATACATAAGGGGGGTATGATCTCCATGTATAATACATAAGGGGGGATGTGATCTCCATGTATAATACATAAGGGGGGATATGATCTCCATGTATAATACATAAGGGGGGATATGATCACCATGTATAATACATAAGGGGGGGATATGATCTCCATATATAATACATAAGGGGGATATGATCTCCGTGTATAATACATAAGGGGGGATATGATCTCCATGTATAATACATAAGGGGGGATATGATCTCCATGTATAATACATAAGGGGGATATGATCTCCATGTATAATACATAAGGGGGGGGGATATGATCACCATGTATAATACATAAGGGGGGGATATGATCACCATGTATAATACATAAGGGGGGATATGATCTCCATGTATAATACATAAGGGGGGATATGACCTCCATGTATAATACATAAGGGGGATATGATCTCTATGTATAATACATAAGGGGGGATATGATCACCATGTATAATACATAAGGGGGGGGGATATGATCTTCATGTATAATACATAAGGGGGGGGGATATGATCTTCATGTATAATACATAAGGGGGGGATATGATCACCATGTATAATACATAAGGGGGGATATGATCTCCATGTATAATACATAAGGGGGGGGGGATATGATCTCCATGTATAATACATAAGGGGGGGATATGATCTCCATGTATAATACATAAGGGGGGATATGATCTCCATGTATAATACATAAGGGGGGGATATGATCTCCATGTATAATACATAAGGGGGGATATGATCTCCATGTATAATACATAAGGGGGGATATGATCTCCATGTATAATACATAAGGGGGATATGATCTCCATGTATAATACATAAGGGGGGATATGATCTCCATGTATAATACATAAGGGGGGGATATGATCTCCATGTATTATACATAAGGGGGATATGATCTCCATGTATAATACATAAGGGGGATATGATCTCCATGTATAATACATAAGGGGGGATATGATCTCCATGTATAATACATAAGGGGATATATGATTTCCATGTATAATACATAAGGGGGGGATATGATAACCATGTATAATATCTCAAGAATACAACGACATACTTTGTAGGAGACGAAGACCACCGTGACCATGACGAGGGTAACCAAGATGGCAGCAATGGGAATGATCGATGTGGTGTGTCTAGCAGTCCCATGGATCCATACATTATTGGCTGACATATGTGGTGGACTGGACCTTCTTAACCCTCCGCCTCAATGGTGGAACATCTATGAACGGAGCACGCTCCAACCACCAATCATCTCAGAATTATGGTCATTTGTAAAGAGGGAGATACATTGCAAAAAGTATGGAAAATTCTCATTTATTTTACAAACTCAGAAAAAGCGATTAACAGAAAATAGAAAGAACAATAAGTTCTCTTTTGTTAGTGAAACATTTCCCGTACTCTGGATGCTCGCTCATGTGACTTATCCGGTGTTCAACAAGGCTTCCTTTCAGGCTGAAACATTTCCCACACTCTGGATGCTCGCTTATGTGACTTCTCTGGTGTTTAACAAGGCTTCCTTTTAGGCTGAAACATTTCCCGCACACTGAACATGCAGAGGGATGCTCACTCATGTAACTTCTCTGGTGTTTAACAAGGCTTCCTTTTGGACTAAAACATTTCCCACACTCTGATCGTGACTAGGAATGCTCACTTATGTGACTTCGGTGTGAAACAAGGCTACCTTTCAGAATGAAACATTTCCCACATTCTGAACATGAATAAGGACGCACACCTGTGTGATTTCTGTGGGGATTAACAAGCCTTCTTGTGTCCTTGAAACATTTCCCGCACTCTGAACATGACTAGAAAGCTCGCCTGTGTGAATTCTCTGGTGATGAAGGAGGTTTCTTTTCTCAATGAAACTTTTCCCACACACTGAACATGAATAGGCACGCTCTCCTGTGTGACTTTTCTGGTGATTTTGAAGGTATCTTTTGTCAACAAAAGCCTTCCCACACTCTGAACATGAATAAGGACACTCACCCGTGTGTTTTCTCTGATGTTTAAGAAGGCTTCCTTTCAAAGTAAAAGATTTCCCGCACACTGAACAAGAATAGGGGCGCTCACCCGTGTGACTTCTCTGGTGTATAAAGAGATCTGACTTCTGGATAAAAGCCTTACCACAATCTAAACACGAAAATGGACGCTCTCCTGTGTGGATTTTTTGGTGTTTAATAAGACCTGCTTTCTTGGTGAAACATTTCCCACACTCTGAACACGAATAAGGACGCTCACCCGTGTGACTTTTTTGGTGATTAAGAAGGACTGTATTAGAAATGAAACATTTCCCACAGTCTAAGCAAGAAAAGGGACGCTCACCCGTATGAATTTTCTGGTGCGTAACCAGTGTTTCTTTCTGAGTGAAACATTTGCCGCACTCTGAACATTTGTAGGGACGATCACCCTTGTGAATCCTCTGGTGCTTTTTGAAGTTTGCCTTTTTCAGAAAAACATTTCCCGCACTCTAAACATGAATAAGGACGCTCGCCAGTGTGACTTCTCTGGTGTATAAGTAGCTCTCTTTTCCGGATGAAACATTTCCCGCACTCTGAACATGAATGTGGACGCTCACCAGTGTGACTTCTCTGGTGAATAACAAGGTGTCCTTTCAGAACGAAACATTTTCCGCACTCTGAACATGTATAAGGACGTTCACCCGTGTGATATTTCTGGTGTATAAGTAGTTTCCCTTTTTCTGTGAAACTTTTCCCGCAAACTAAACATGAATGAGGAAGTTCACCTGTGTGAATTCTCTGATGTACATTAAGTTCTCTTTTGTAAGCAAAACATTTCCCGCACTCTGAACATGAATAAGGACGCTCGCCAGTATGAATTCTCTGGTGTGTAACAAGGCCTCCTTTACGACTGAAACCTTTCCCGCACTCTGAACATGAAAAGGGACGCTCACCCGTGTGAACTCTCTGGTGATGATGAAGGTTCCTTTTATCAATGAAACCTTTCCCGCACTCTGAACATGAATAGGGTCGCTCCCCCGTGTGGTTTTTCTGGTGATTAAGAAGGTATCTTTTCTGACTGAAACCCTTACCGCACTCTGGACATGAGAAAGGACACTCGCCTGTGTGAATTCTATGATGCTTAAGAAGACTTCTTTTCATAGTGAAGGATTTCCCGCACTCTAAACACGAAAATGGACGTTCCCCCGTGTGACTTCTCTGATGTATAAGAAGGTCAGATTTCTGAATGAAACCCTTGCCACAATCTAAACATAAAAAAGGACGCTTGCCTTTGTGAATTTTTTGGTGTTTAACAAGATGTGCTTTCTCAGCGAAACATTTCCCACACTCTGAACATGAGAAGGCAAGCTCAATCTTCTGACTTCTCTGGTGTCCAAGAGATGCTCCAGATTTTTTTAAAGATTTCCCACATGCTGAAAAAAAGGAGTCCTTGGGATTAGATGGTTCTGTTGCTGCATCTGTACTGTGGGACCTCAGATGGATATCTAGAGGATCAGTATGTGGGTTATGGGGAGATCCCTCAGGATCAGAGGAATCCATTGGTCTCTGCGAGTGATGAGGTCTCTGGTGTATTATTTGTGTGTCAGGATTTTCTCCTGGAGGACATTGTGTGGTGGCATCTTCATCTGCTTTATATTCTGAAGATCCGTTATTCCAGACATAGAGTCCACCTGTTGGAAATCAACGTTTCCATGTTAGAGGAATTCTTCCTTCAGAAGTCATATACAGGATGTTGGTCTAACGCTCTACAGTATCTCAGAGCTCCGGCATGGAATTGGGGCCATCAGAACAGAGAATATGAATACAAACCAGACAAAGGATACAAAGATGGACCTTTCATATGGTGTCCAGTATCTCCTCCTCATTTGTTGGGAACATGACGTTATATTGAGGAATGGAGATGGACCTTTCATATGGTGTCCAGTATCTCCTCCTCATTTGTTGGGAACATGACGTTATATTGAGGAATGGAGATGGACCTTTCATATGGTGTCCAGTATCTCCTCCTCATTTGTTGGGAACATTGGCTAGTAATGGACTAGTTTTTTTTAGGGTATATTTGATGCATGTGTCTTTCTTGAACCCATGTAACAGTGCAAACATATGCTTCATCCTCATTAAAAAAAAAAAAATGAAAATGTGAATTGCTTAGTGCTTATACTTACTTGTGTCCATATGTAGAGAAGATTTCTCTGGTTTACTTTCCATAGTCATCTCCCCCTCCTCCATAGACTGCTGATCTCTCCACCCACCAACCTCTCTTCTTCTTCCTCTTTAATCTCAACTTTGATGTCTTTCAATTCTTCACCCCTAAACCCCAAAGATGTCAGAATACATTTATCAAAACCTCCCCACAAAAATCAATAGAGGAATGCCATCTTAGAGCTTATAATAATTTCTGAGTTTATTTTCTGAGTCCCATCTACCTGATCGTGGTGAATGATGGTGTGATCTTTCCATGTGGAGTCCAAAGAATACAGAGGACCACCTTCTTCCATAAACTGCTGATTTCCCCACACAAATGACTCCTCTTCTTTTTTAACTTCAACTTTGATGCCCTTCAGTTCTTTTTCCTAAACCCCAAAGATGAATAATACATTTGTAAAGGATAGATTACTGGCCTAGAAGACTTTTTCACTGGACATGCTTAGTCCCACCTACCTGATGATGGTGGGGGATGGGTGTGACTTTCCTGTGTGGAATCCCGGGAATACAGAGGACGGGGACATCTCTCTGGTGGGTTCCCATTACTGGATTCATCTACCCGATGATGGTGAGGGATGGTGTGATCTTCCTGTGTGGAATCCCGGGAATACAGAGGGCGGGGACATCTCTCTGGTGGGTTCCCATGACTGGATCCATCTACCTGATGATAGTGAGGGATGGTGTGATCTTCCTGTGTGGAATCCCGGGAATACAGAGGACGGGGACATCTCTCTGGTGGGTTCCCATGACTGGATCCATCTGTAGTAAACACACACACTGACTGAATCCATTGTTTCTATGTGTTTATCAGATGATGGGGGATCTAGGTGGACCCTCCGTACTGCTCTCTCCTTTCCAATAAAGTCTCCTCTTACCCGGTGATGTGAGGGGCGGCTGATTGTCCATCATGACGTCCTTGTAGAGATCCTTGTGTCCTTCTAAATACTCCCACTCCTCCATGGAGAAATAGACAGTGACACCCTGACACCTTATAGGAACCTGACACACACAATGATACAGTCACCATCCAGACACATCCCTTGTCTGTTACTGGAGAATGTCCCAGAATTCCCGGCACCGCTCACCTCTCCTATCAGCAGATAAATGACCTTCTGGGTGACTTCTAGAATCTTCTTGGCACTGGTTCCCTCTGTTGTCAGGCAGTGAGGTGGAGGCACTGTGATGGTTGATGTCCTGTGAAGACGGCTGCTGGGTGCTAAAGGCTCACCAGATATTTTCTTCACTACTTTATAATCCTGTGTATAAAGAGGAAGTAACAATTATCACCACAGACTTCCCAGAATCCTCCTCACCTCTCGAGCAAGATCTGTATGTGTTCTGTCTGTGTCCTAGTTGTTGAGATTTCTTCTCACTTTTTGTCCATGTGACTGGGGTCAAAGAGGACAAGCTGTGAGGTGAACTCAAACTAGTAATAATCTGAAAGAGTTTCTAATAAATCCTGTCTCCATCTAAACTTACATTTTAACCACTTGACGACCAGCCACTGTAAAAATACGTTGGCAGGGCGGCACGGCTGGGCAAAACATCGTTTTAAAATATGTGTTTGCAAAACAGGTAGGGGGCGTGCGTGAGGTGCGCCACCGCCCTACCTGTCCCGCCGATCACGGCCGCAGATGTCAACGCCGGGACACAGCTGGTTGTTACCGGCTGTGTCCCGCCGATTAGCGGCAATCACTGACAGAGAGCAGGGCTGCAGTAGCTCTGCTTTCTGTCAGTCCCCTGTCAGCTCCTGACATGCTGAGCCAGAGAGAAGAGTTTATCTCTCCTGATCAGCGTGTCTGTGCAGTACATACCCCCGCCCCCTAGTAAAACACTCCCCTCACACAGTTAACCCTTTCAGTAAATAAAAAAAGTTAACCCCTTCCTCCCCAGTGCCATTAGTACCGTGTCAGTGGTTTTTTTTTTTGCACTGCTCACTGTATTGGTGTCACTGGGGATGTCAGTGACCCCAAGTCAGTCCCCCCCCAGTGTCAAAATGTCCGCTGCAGTCCCGCCATAAGTCGCTGATCGCCGCCATTATTAGTATAAAAAAAAAATAAAATCCCAGTATCTTTCCCGCCATTTGTAAACACTATAACTTTCACGTAAACCAATTAATTTACACGTATTGGTTTTTTTTTAGCAAAGACATGTCGCAGAATGCATTTTGGTTGAAATTTATGACGAAATTTGATTTTTAAATTTTTTTTACGGGACATGATTTATAGCAAAAAGTCCAAAATATTGTTTTTTTTTCTCAAAATTGACAGCCTTTTTTGTTTTATAGCGCAAAAAATAAAAAACGCACAGGCAATCAAATACCACCGAAAGAAAGCTCAATTTGTGTGAAAAAAAGTAAATTGTAAATTTCATTTATGTACCGTATTGCATGACCGCACAATTTTCCGTTAAACTACCGCAGCACTGTATAGCAAAAAAATGGCGTAAATTGCAGTATCTATACCATAGTTTGTAGACGCTATAACTTTCACACAAAGCAATCAATATTCACTTATTGGGATTTTTTTTACCAAAAACATGTAGCAGAATACATTTTGGTCTAAATTTATAACTAACTTTGAGTTTACTATATATTTTTTATATGAAAGTAAAAAATATTGTTTTTCTTCAAAATTTTTGGTCTTTTATTGTTTATAGCGTGAAAAATAAAAAGCGCACAGGTGATCAAATGCCACCGAAAGAAAGCTCTATTTGTGTGAAAAAAAGGACACAAATTTTGTTTGGGTGCAGCGTTGCATGACCGCGCAATTATCAGTTGAATTAATGCAGCGCCGAGTAGCAAAAAGAGGCCTGGTCATTAAGGGGGGTAAATCCTCAGGAGGGCAAGAGGTTAAAAAAATTGCTTTAGTTAGACTTTGGATAGAAGCGTTACCTGGAGAGGATCCATGTTTACTAAATAGTAATGACCATGTATGATGGAGGATATGTAGACATGACAGTGACCAGGAATATCTATATTGTGAGCCCTGTCCTATTAGTGTCACTGAACACTGCATGTATACCGTACTCATAGATGTCACCCTGACAGCCAAATCCACCAAAATAGGTGCTGTGATTGGTGCTCAGGATTATTGATGACCCAAACCATGTTATTCAAATGAAACTAAGGAGCCAGCTTTATGGAAGGTGGATAAATGGTTCTATATTTAGGACGTATCCGGTCTATAAACCAGAGGCTCTGGATGGATGGTTGGATAAATGGCTCTATATTTAGGATAGGACGTATCCGGTCTATA